CAATTTTGCTTCTTGTATTTGTTGCATTCATACTAAGCCACTTAAGCACGTTATTAACATTATATTCAGCTACAACTGCATACCTGAAAGACAGGCACAAATGACAGAAGATACAGACGCAAAACCCAGGGAGACAAAAGCGATTAAGAGATAAAATTAACTTCATTTTGGTTCGTAAGGCAAGCAGGTTGTCTAGAGTAGATAGCTGCTTTGGCAAATACCCAGTCGCTTATTGTTGTCATAGACATTAACGCTGCAATTCATGTACTGCATTAAAGTAAAATAAATATTTAACAACATAATTTTCAACTCTTTATGTTAGGGGGATTAAGAAGAAAATGAAAACAGTTAATAATAGTGTAAATAATATAATATAATATAACTGTAATATAAACAAGAAAATAACTTAAATAGGAGTTTACTGATGCTTAAATTACTTTTACATAATTTTAAAAAAAATAATATAAATTTTTCTGTATTAGAAAAATACTTTTGTATGCTAATATAAAGCCTTAACTAATTGCAAAAGATTTTGGTATGTATAAGTAATAGAAATTGAGTTACTATACAATCAAATTTGATGAAAATATGTAGCCAATGAGGTCTTTCTTTTAGAATTTCTATATCACTCAATGTTTTGTATTTAAATTTGAACCCAACATTTCAATTTTTGGAATCACGCTTAGTCTAATTTAGATTTTTGCTCTATAGCATTACAGCACTTTGTTCGTGAAAGCTTATTTCACAATTTCTATCTATATTGACCGAACTAGTAGTTTGGTTTTATAGTGCAGTATATATAGTTCAACTTCTTTAAATTATAATTAAATTAATGTAAATAGTAGATTTTTTGGCGACTCTTTGCTTGGGATCGATATTGCTCCCTTAGGAATTTTCATTAACACGTTATCAATCATATATATGGCGTGTCCAGAGCAATGATTATTCAGTTTCTGTGCTTTATTAGAACGAAATCATAAACCAGGTGTAGAATAATTGAATTAATTAATTATATAAATAATAATACTATTCTGCACAAACGACATGCTAAGAGACCTTAGAATAGACCCGATCAAAAAATACATAAAGGACAGAGCCTTGAAGTTATATGCGAAAACTGACAGGCTATCCTACTTAGCACAATCTAATCTTAGAGTAATCACTCTCCGCATGGGGAGGTACGCAGATCTTAGATCAATCACTGAATAATCATGAAGCTTATAGAGAATACATAAATTAGTCAATGAGATGGGTGGGAGCCTTTACTACCCCCAAGTATCAAAGAGTAAAAGTGCCCAGTTGCGCTGACTCGAAAAAAGGATCTACATACACACATACTATTCTTTTGTACATAATATATATAATTAATAATTGTTTTATTAAATAACTTTTTGAGTAATTATTTGAAATCTGTTGAAACTTTTACTTATTTAAAAGTTAAAAGTGACATTTCAATATTAAAAGGTTCTCCACTCCTGGTATAGACAAATTAACTGGGCAAACAAATGACTGACTGTTCAAAAGTAAAACATTTCACAATTCTACATACAAATACTCCAATGATGTAGATGTTAAAAATTTTTAACAAAAGATAAACATACTATATATAAAAAATATTTGTTCACAAGAGCGAGCTACTGATAAGAATATTTTAAACATATTTTCTGAGATGCTCATTAATAAGTTCTTCTGGAAATTTTGCATGCATTCATATTAACTTCTTAATGACGTTAAAAAAAAGAGTACAATAAACTCATTAAGAAAAAAATAAAAAAAAATTAAGATTTGATCTAAAGTAAAAGATGTTGATTAATGACTATTTCTTTTGAAAGCACATATATTTATAGATAATGTTTACTCAGAACAAAAAAAAAATGTATGAGATAAGTATTATATTAACGAATTACAATTGTTTTTATTGGCACTTATAAAAACAACATTTAATTTTATTCAAAACAAACTACATATTTTACATTTACTTAAACTGATGTACAAAAAATAAATATATTTTTTAATGATTTTAATGATAATGATTTTATAAACAATAATTTATTAAAATAATAATAATAGAATAACAATAATATAACAATAATAATATAATAATAATAAAATATAATAATAATAATATAATAATAATAATATAATAATAATGTAATAATAATGTAATAATTCTTATAAAAACAACATTTTATTTAATTATATAACAAACTATTTCACTTATACTTAAACTGAGGTACAAAAAATAACTATATTTTTTTAAAAGATAATAATTTTATAAACAATTATTTATTAAAATAATAATATAATAATAATAATATAATAATAATAATATAATAATAATAATATAATAATAATAATAATGTAATAATAATAATAATATAATAATAATAATGTAATAATAATAATATAATAATAATAATAATAATGTAATAATTCTTATAAAAACAACATTTTATTTTATTATAAAACAAATTATTTCACATTTACTTAAACTGATGCTCAAAATATAAATATTTTTTTTTAAAAGACAATAATATTGTAAATAAATTATAATGCAATTTATAAATAAGTAAAAAATCTATTTCATTATTAATTACAGGCAAAAGAATTAAAATGAAGAAGTGTAAAAAATATCAATCTCTATAAGTTCATATTAAATAAAATAAATATCAAACATTCCCACAAGTTTAATATTATTAGAAAAGTATCTTAATTTCGCCAATACTACATACATGCATGCATTTTTGTTACGCGTTAAGTCCCACCTTAACCTCCTTAGTGTACTTAGTCCATCATCTAATCATACCTCCGGCACTAGTACACCACAATTGACACCTACAAGCCCTGAACCATTTTTCCCTGACATGGAATTGCAACGTTCAAAATCATTGAAATCAATACGAGTGCGCAAAGTGTCAAAGGGATCACTTAAGTCCCTACGTCGTGGTACTGTGTGTGTGACGGTCAGTACGCACGCCTCTTCAGTGTTTTATGATGATAAGGTAAATTTAAAAGTAGCATATTTGAATTTTCTGTTGTAATTTTGCATAAATCAACACACCAAATTGTTTCTCTCTTAAAATATATATTGTTATGGACTTATGGTATACTGTGTTCTTTTACTACCGCCTGCGTATGTGCTTTCTAATAATTAAGCCCAGCTACGAAAACAATTTGGAGCGGCCATGAAATAGACTTATTGTTTTTTTATTATTATTTTTTTATTTTTGTTTTAAATATTTCAACCCGTCGTTAAGCTCACATAATATTTCAAATTTCGATTTTTCATTATTTATGCGTTCCATTGTTCAAATTGCATTTTTCCATTCATTGCAATCCATTTTACTTGGCCATGAAATTTAATTTAATTGTTTCGACTTTTATTGCTTTCATTTATTACATTTATTTACTGCTTATATCTTATGTAATTCTTTATGGCCAAGTATTTTGTAACTGTATCTGTATCTGTATCTCTATCTCTATATGTATCTATGCGTTGGCAATTAAAGCCAACTGCACGTTTTCGTTAAAAGAGTTTGGTTCCGGTGCTTTAAAATTATTGCAAATACTCCAATGAATACTTCAGTCTTTATTAGTTTATAATTCAATTTTATACTTTCATGAGGGCAGAGCTTTTTTTTATTGATAAGACTTTTTTTTAAAACATTTTTCAATATTTAAATAAAAATAAAAACTCCAGTTGCCGGCAATTTTAAGTTTTTTACAATATTTTTATATGCACATTCGAGATTTTTGCAATTAATCGATATTTCTTATCGATTTTATTTTTATATTTTCGTGAGTTTACGCAGTATTGTAATATAAATAAAATAAATTAAAGTCTACGGATTTAACAGAATTCGGTATTTTTATGAACATCAATCTTATCTAGCCGACAAGATGTAGTCAAGTGAAAAAGTTTTTTATATACACATTTCTACCGCATAAAGAATTTTATACTAATAGGAATTAAATTTCACTTTGACCAATTGAGTGTAAAATATTAGATTATTTAAAGTGATATATTCTACTAAAACTGCGAGTAAGTTTTAAATCGTACCTACATGTATTTATTCATAAAAAAAAAAGATAAATAATAATAAGTCAGTTTTATATTTCTTTTTTTTTATACTCGTAAAATTATATAAATAAGATATCTAAAGTATAGAAGTATATGAATATATCAGTATTATTGTTGTTTATATTAGATAGATATTTTTACTAAAATGCTCTGATTCAATTAGTTTACGTATGCTAGATGATATGTTAGTATGAACTACTTTCTGTTCATAACCGATTTCTCATGACTTTTGAGATCTAGTCTATGGAAAACCATTATTCAAAGTTTTTAAAAATAAATTGAAATGCAAAGTTAAACCGAGTACCCAGAAATGTCAAAAATGAAAGTGAGCAAATGCACTTCTTAAGTATTGAGTATAGTAAAGCTAAAGTCCCTTAATGTATTCCATACAATAGCACTAGACTGAGAGTCGTCAACTACTGTAAGAAGAAAGTGCTGTTTAATCACTGATTGGTTTTAAGATCCCACTCAAAGATCCCGGATCATTAGCGATGTAAATTAAAAACATAATCAAGTTTAGTCTTAATGAAGTTAGCTTTTCCAACTTTAAAGTGTGTTCATCAGTTGCAAAGAGGGTTCCCTTGATCTATTCCCACATATTTATTAATAAGGCTCACTGGTTCTTTCTCTAGTTAGAAATTTTTAAAATACAAAATTATCAATAAAAATTTAACACAACGTTAAGCACCAGTTATAGCTGAAAATATGATTACCTCAGACTTAATTGTTTAGACTAAAGATATTGACTCTCTAAATTTTATTATAAATAAAATTTCTTGTAATTTAATAAAAATAATATGTTATAATTAAAAATATTTAACATCGTTTATATATTTTTTTTATTAATAATTACTATTATTAATAATTACTATTTAAAGTTAAATGAATAATTGTTATTTACATTTTATTTTATTTTTAGGGTGACTATATTAAGCATCCCGTTCTGTATGAACTCAGCCATAAATATGGCTTCACAGATAATCTGCCCGAAAGTGCACTACCTAATCGTCTTGAGGAAATTAAAGAAGCGATACGACGCGAAATACGTAAAGAACTCAAAATTAAAGAAGGTGCAGAAAAATTACGTGAAGTTGCGAAAGATCGACGATCACTCAATGATGTAGCAACAATTGTTAAAAAAAGCAACAATAAATTGGCTGAACTGAAATCAGAACTGCAAGAATTAGAAAGCCAAATTCTGTTAACGCAGGGCAATACTGTAACAAGTAATAGCAGAGGTAAGTTTAAATAAATATTAGATTAAAATACTAATTCTACTATCATTTTACCTTTAACATGATATTTATACGAAACAAAAGTGTTCCGATTTATGTAGATACTTTTGTGTTACACTGGAAACACAATCAGTGCGAGTTACGATTTAAAAAAGCGGAAGAGTTTTTTTTTCATTAGTTAGGAAATAATAGAATATACTTTGATTTATTGTTTACTACTAACTAAAACTTTTTAAGCGGATATGTTGCAAATAAGGGCCTTGAAACTCTTGTCTGTTAATGCAATATGGGATTTTTAAATTTTAAAATGTTTGAAAAGCAAGCGGAGTTAAATATTCAGTCTGTGGTATAGAGTATAGTATGTTTCTATTGCTTACTTAGTAAATGTAACTTACTAAGTAAATTTCATAAACTATACAAAGAGTTTTCGTGCTTTTTAACTTAAAGCAAGCAAAGGAAGTGTTTTAAAGTAAGGAAAATTAGAGCAAAAATGTTGAATGCAACCCTTAAGAATAAATTACCCACAAGGGAAATGACCGAAATTTTAAGTATTTGTCATATGTTTTATAAATAAAAACAACATATATATATAAACCAACAGCTGACCTGTATACAAACGTACTGAGAAAAGGAATATTTAATAAACTATTTGTTTTTATAATTAGGTAATATATTTATATTAATTAATTAATAATTTAATATATGAATTACATATTTCATATTTGGTGTGATATATTATTGAGTGAAATTTTTCTAAACAAACAAAAGCTCCCTTAAAGCTTTTAAAGAATTTTCTTACACATAAAAGTTCTTTCCCATGCAATAATTAATTTATGTTAATGGAAACGACCAAACGGAATGTTAAAGTAACTTAAGTAACTTACTAAGTGTGCTATGGAAATATAGTATTAGCAATTATGGTAATGCCAAACACTGTTTACACTTCATAATTAGCGGTACTCAATTAGTGTTTACACTATGTGAGCTTAAAGTTTTCTCTATGAGATGTGCAATTGTCACACAATTAGCAGTAAAGAGTTAATATGTAACATAAATATACTCTAATGTAGGAAATTTGTAGGAAAATATATTGATTAGTTTGATTGAAGATATAGTTTCATTTGAAACGTTCCCGAAATAGTACAAGAAAACTTTAAACATATTTTATTATGAAAAATTACTATCCCTGAAGTATTTTAAATATTTACCTTTCCATTACAAATATTTATTTAATCAAAAAAAAATTTTTTGTGTTATAACAGTTATTTAATATATATAATCTTTCATTACCATTTTTGCCATAAAAACACAATTTCATTAAATCAAATTTTTTAATTAAATTTTGCTCTCTGTTGATGGTTTTCACACGCAAATATTTAATTAATTTTTGTTGGTCGGCTGTAATTGTTATTTGTATAATATCAATTGCTGTAATTACTATTAAAAAAAAACGTTATAATTGCTTTTATGCATTTATTTACTTACATTTAATGAGATTTCATTGTTAAAGCTTTCATTCTCTTGCTACGCAACAACAAAAAACTTCGTATAATAATAGGATTAAAACTGCTCGTGCTGATATTACAAGGAAAAATTAAATTTTAAAAATGTTATAAAAAATATTCTGATTTTCATATATCATATCAATATTTTAATGTTGTGAATCCGTATATGTATAAAATATTGGATTTTAAAACAGATATTGTTTATATACTTATATTCAGTATGTTGATATCGAAATTTTTGCACGGTTAATATAAGGAATTTTTTAGAATAAATGGAATTTCTTATTTTGTAAAAAATTATTTATTTTATTGACAATACTGTAAATTGATAAAATGAATTTTTGTTGTTGTAGTTCACTACTGTTCGAAAAACAGCTTTAGGAAATATAATAGTTTCTATTAGATATAATATATATAGTCACTTCCTTCTGAAAAATTTAATGTACAAAGTACGGCTTTGGGTCAGTTGGTTAAGGTGCGCTATCTCTGAGCTTCAAATTTGGCAGGGCACGATTTCAATCCCTGCTATTTGAAGACTCAAAAAATTATTTACGAATAATTAAATACAAGAATTAATTCCAACATCACTTATGATGACAGCTGTATGGTGAGCCAAAAATTCAAATAATTAAAATAATATAAAATGAATTTTTGTTGTTGTTGTTCACTACTGTTCAAAAAATCTCTTTAGTACATTGATAAATAAATTTTATATATTTATTTTTTTTCTATTTAAAGTTATTAATGTATCTAAATTTTATAATCATCTCTTCTTCATTAGGGCGAGATGATTGATATCTTGATATCATAATATCGTTAGAACGTTTTCAATTTATGAGTCTATGTATTTTATAGTTAAATTAGAAGTCTTATGGCGGATAATTGGTTGAGCAAGCTGGGTTAGGTTAGATTAAAAATTACTTCGAACCATTCGGCAACCTTACAATTCAATACAATGCTGAATTCACATATAAAATCGATAAATAAATTTCGACAAAATTTTTTAGTTTTTTTAAAGTTTTCATAATGTTCTCCTTTCATCAAATGTTGGAATCATTGTTATAATAATCACTGCCAAAAAATAGTGGAGTATACTAAGGTTAAGAACACTACGGTAATCGCATAAGTTTGAAACCATTAAGTGACATTACGATTAATAAAGGGCTGTACACAATAAATTGATAAATGATTGTTTAAGTCCCTCTAAGAATCGCAATTGAATCTTTAAGATAAATCAATGTTTTTATAGCGTCTTGAGTTATGTCCTTTCATTAATTGACGTAATTTAGAGAAAAAGTGGATGTTATATGGTGAGTGAATTATGCTACGTTTCATAAGGTTATTACATTAATCATAGACTTTAAAATCAATTAGAAACTTTAATGAAGCTTAAGATGCTGTTAGGCCTGAGGTTGGGTTTCTTGTAACAGGCTAAGATTCTTAAAGTAGTAAGCGCTTAGCTTGTTTAAAAGTGTCGTTATTAAAGGCTAAATGATTTTTTTTTTAATATTACCGCCTAAATAAAAATACTGTTTGTATATCTTTAAAAAATTATATACTGATGATTAGTATCAGATGTTTAAATTAGTACAGTCATAATCCAAATCCAAAAAAAATTTAGTCAATTACAGAAATAGTGTTCGTAGAGTACTACATATTGTAATCAATTTAATTTTTTATGCTATTAACTAAATTCACTATAGTCATTACTCACTTAGTCACCTCTAAGTTTAAGTACAATTATTAAATATAGAATTTTTTTTTTCTCATTTCTCCATAACTTCAATTTATTTCGAGAACTGTATGAGTACATATTTACAAAGAAAATAAATGCTTTAATTTCCTTGACTAAAGCCTTTAAGTATATATTTCTAGTGTTACTTTAACATTTGTTTTCGAAGCAACACAGTTGCTAAATGACATTCTAGCTACTTTAGCTTTAGTCATTGCCTAAACTTTCCTGTGATTTATGTGCTTCTGACATGCATATTTTTTTAATATGTCTTCTTTCACTCACTTTGTTTTTATGACTGTCATTTGTCTCTCTAGTATCATTGGCTGATTGCGGACTATTAAAGTGACATCTGAAATGTTGTTTCAAGTGTTGCCTGAAATGTGACACCTTATTTTTTATTTGGTGTATTTTTAAGATTCTCTTTTTATTGGCAAATAAAATAAAGTTTTAACTTAAGCGTGATAGTCCTAATTAAATGAAGCATGCTTTTTGTAATCCCATGTGCAGATAAAATTAAAACACGTTGTTTACCTTTGAACTACCTGTGAGTAAACATTTTGACAGTACAGTATTTTTTTTTTTTGTTGGTTACATATTTATTACACATGTTAAGTTTTGGAAAATATGCCAACATGTGTATAGAAATATATTTCTGTAACAGCTTCTTCTGATATGTGTGTATGTATATATATAGTAATAATATAGTTTTTTTGTACAGTTACACAAGCAAAATTTTCACGCCTATGTATATATTGGCAGTATCAATCAAGATGGAAAGCAAATTATTGGCAAAAGAAATTAATTTATAAGGCCAATTTATCTTCTTTAACATTATATTCTATCTTTTTTAAATACTTTTATTTATTTTGTTTTATTCTGGTACAAGGTAGAAATATGTATATTTCTTATTTTTAAAATAGAGTGATTCAAACATTTTCCACATTTAATGGTATTTCTTGTACAGTAAGAAAATTTTTCCTAAAAAATATTTACAACCGTTTGAAAAATAATTAACTTGAACATTGAAAATAGCTTAAGGTACATATAAAATAAATCAACTTTTTTAAAAGAGGACTAAATTAATTAATAATAAATATTAATTCATAATAATATATAAATAAAAATAATATATTTACTTCATAGCTGACCTAATATTTACTAGCATTTAATATTATTAATATTAATATTTACAATAAAAATGATAAAAAATTCAAGAGCTGTGATTTATTTTATTACTTACTATGTGTACCCATGCATTACAATAACAATAAACAATTCTTTAAAAAAATAAAAATAATTATTATTTAAAATATTTTATTAAAAATGTGTTTAAAAAATGCTTTTCGGTCTTTTCTTCTTTGTTTGATGAAACAAGTGTCTTTTACAATTTGGCTGACCCACTGTAATAACAGCTCCATTGAATTATGATAATAAATTATTCAGATGGATTTTGATTTCTACGACTTGTAATAAACACAGTCTTTTACTTTGTAGCACTTACTGTAATTCTGGGAAAACTCAGCGATATGCAGACATCTGTATGCAATCTGGCCAGTTTCCGACAAAAGGAAATCTAAAATTCTCATTGAGATGTCCCAAAAAGACATCGGTTTTTTGGTAGATTTACTTACAGGCCACTGTAAACTAGGGAACCATGCTAGAAGATTAGGTCTTCCTTTAAATCAAATCTGTCGTAGCACCTGAAAAGTGACCCAACCGTACCAGACTATCGCGTACATTTATGCTTTCATTTATGCTCGATCGCTAGTTTTCTTTAAAAACCTGTTCTGCTAAATATATTTTTCAGATTTATTTTGCAACTCGGGAATATGGTAACTTCAATGTCTTACACATTTCCTAAATTTTTTTATATTTAAAATTTGACAACATTTAAGTATTAATATTTGGAAAAACAATTTTTGGTAGAAATTTTATTTATTCCTGTTAAAGATTCTCCTTAAGGTGATAAGAGGATTTGTTTCATAATATTTTTTGATTAAAGCTATTAGAAGCTATACCTTTGTTAAAGTGCCTTCAAAAAATCTTTTAAATAAATTCCGTAAAAAGTATTAAACATTTAACAACGCCTAGAGCAGCGTATTTAATATTTCTTCCGCATTAAAATGACATTAGTGCTATACTAAAGCATTTAAGTGCCTGTAAAACTGCATCATCGTAAAAAAGTTTGCTTAACAAATATAAATCAATTGTAAAATAAAATTCTAAGGATAGCTGTTTTGTTCTTATATGCATTTTAATATTTAGTTGTTTTTGTTTCATAAACTTATGTAAGAAATTTATATCTTAAGTTATTTATTATTAAATTAAGATAGTATAAACTTATAAAAATTAAAAGTCTATTATTAAAATTTGATGTGCAAAATATGACGTAATAAATTATTATTGTTGTTGTATCAGTGGAAGAAATGCATTTCAGGTAGTCTCATAAATAAAATATATTCGCTTTACTTAAAATGTAAAGTTTCGCCCTCTTCACAATCGAACACACAAGGTACGTAAATTAAAAGTACTCTTTAAATGATTTCTCCATTCACCACTTGATGGCAATAATTCATCACTTTCAATATATTTTTCAATGACAATTTTTGCAAGTATATAAAATGAATATCATCATGTGTACTATATATGTATGATTTTTTTTATTTTTTTGTGGATTATCTCATAAGTGTCATTCATTTGTATCACAAATAAACGAAATAAATAAATATTGTGTTTAACACAAAGACATCCATTGAGACTAAGATTATGGCATCATACAGATAAATTAAATTATAGAATGACAATAGCATTTAAATAAATTGAAACAGAAAACCACACTTTGGTTGACCAAATGACCTTATACGAGTTGTATTTAGAGAAGTGGGAATATAAAGAACAATGGAACCAGCAAAAAAACAGTTGTGCTAACATATCAATTAAGAGCAAACATTTTTTTGTGATTCTTTATTTAAACAATATACTCGTATGTAGATTAATATTAGTTATATTTTTTCTTTTGAAATTGTGTACTTTTAATAAAGTTTATATATTATATATTGGTTGTACATTTTTATGCTTAAAACTTATTTACAGTGACTAGGGTTGCAGTCTCTCCTATATCTTTTTAGTTAGTATGTATGAAATAGGGACAACCTAGGGATCTCAAATACTTCGCAGAGATATCGTCTTATTGTTGGCTTTTCTGACGAGTCTAATGACAGTTAAAACTTACTACCGTTGTGGAGAAAATTAGTCAGAATAGCTTATTTTGCCAAAAATCCGTTGTCAAATTGAGGTACCCTAAAAATCGTAATCGTGCCAAACATCCCTTCTGTAACTTTTGCTACAGAAAAGTGTTGTAAAAGTGTTTTTTTAACATCTGCTTTGTCATTGCTTAACGTTGCTTCAACATGCAGAAGACTTACTTACTATGTTTGATTAATATTTGTTATTTATTAATGAATCAAAGAAGTTCGTATAATAGTTACAAAAAATTATGACAGTTTACTTTAAATCTAAATTGACAATAATATACTTGTCGCATGTTATGTTTACACAATTGTATCTAAATCGAAAAATATACAGCAATGTTAGCCATTTTGCATTTAAATTCATATAGAGGTTCGATTAGTCTAAAGAGGTTCGATTAGTCTAAATTTAAATTTAATTGATTTTAAATCCTTCAACTCAATAAGATGTTATAGTTATATATAGATGTAGATCCCTAGGATCTACATCTCTAATTAATAACCTACCTAACTTTATATGAATTGTGAAGGACCTAGCAATCATGTTCCTTATTCTTAATTAAATTTAAAATTAATCTTAATGTTAACTCACAAATAAGTATATAAATAAATTTTTGAATTAAATCATATGAATATGAATCAAATTTTAAAAATTCAGCAACACTTTATTATTTTCCGGCCTTTACTTATGATTATGAAATATTTTGATACTTTCCTTTCTATTCACATAATCCGGCAATAAGTGAATAATAAATGTTTATTACATTATTTTTAATTAATTAAAAATGTCTATTTTATTTTATGCTGTATAACTATTTTTAATTATTTTTCTTTTTAGAAATACTTTCATCAAATTTGTCAACACCAAACTCAACACTTGGTGGCAATGCGAATAATGGCGGAGGCAGTGGTTTGATCTCAGGCGGTCATGAACAGCTTACAGCGAACGATAAAATGCTTTTATCGCTTGAGAAGCAACTAAATATTGAAACGAAAGTGAAAAATGGCGCTGAAAATATGATCCAATCGCTAGCAAATGGTCATCATGGGCGTGATAAGAAATTGTTGGCAGAAGCACAACAGATGTTGGCGGATTCCAAAGCAAAAATTGAATTCTTACGTCTGCGTATATTGAAAGTTAAGCAAAATAAGGAGCAGGCTCATAAATTATCCGCACAAGCAGCAAATATTATAACGGATGAAAATGGTTCAGTGATAGTGGGTGCGCAGCCACAACGTTTGGAGACGACACTGGAAGAGCGCATAGAAGAGTTGCGGCATCGCTTGCGAATCGAAGCAGCTGTTGTCGATGGAGCAAAAAATGTGATACGTACCCTGCAAAATAATAAAGTCCCTGATAAAAAGGCTTTACAAGAGGTAAGTCAGTTTAAAAATATACTTTTCTATGTTGTGTGAAAATGCTTCAATGCTTTTCGCAGTCAATCTGATAAAAATAGTTTTTAATGTTCTTGGATTTTTTTGTATTATTAAGATAACGCATAATATATATATTATATTATATGTACTTGTACTTTAAAATTATATTTATTTTGACACGGTTTTGTGTGCCATTTGGATGCATTTCAAATATTCAGATATTTAAAATGTTATTTTCTTTCTAGTGCCATCAGGTGTTAAAAAATGTAATTTTACTTTCAATTCTATTTATAAGGTTTTAAAAATATAACATTATGTTTAATTGATGATTGACTATTTTAGTTATACAATATTAGATCTAGTTTTTTACATTCAAAATAATATAATATTTATTATAATTATATGTAAGTGGGGAATACCGTAAACCGCGACTTGAGTGATCTATAGTGAGAATCACAATTGTTCTAACCAATCATTAGGCTTGTTGACAGATAAGATATTGTATTAAAGATAAATGTAATCATTAGTGTATATAATAATATTATATTATTATGATATAATAATATTATATTATTATGATATAATAATATTATATTATTATGATATAATAATATTATATTATTATGATATAGTAATATTATATTATTATGATATAATAATATTATATTATTATGATATAATAATATTATAATATATATATATTTACCTGATTGAAAAGAAGGCTTCAGGAAAAGAGATTTTCATCAAATGATGAAACTGAGGTATATTTCAAAGGACTTGATAAATCGTATTATTTAAAAGGTATACAAATGTTGAAAGATCGTTGGATTCGATGTGTCGAGCTATTGAAACAAAAAATATAATTTTCCAAAAAAAAAATGCGTTTTAATACTTAGACCGAATAATAGGATTTCTCAAAGCTCTCAAAATAAGCGTTTGTTTCGGTAATAGGATTTCTCATTCGACTCAAATCTCTTATCGCGTAGCCATTTCTTTAGGTTTGGAAACAGAAAATAGTCGCAGGGGGCTAAATCTGGAGAATATGCTGGATGGGATAGCAGTTCGTATCCCAGTTCGTGGATTTTTGCCATCGTGACTAGACAAGTGAAAAATCACGTAAAAACATACTTCGTAAAAATTCACGAGATTGTTTGCTTTGAACGGCTATCAAACACCAACTGAAGGATGTAGCTTGCTCAAAATTAAAAAGTTGCCTATTGGTACATTACAGCTGACGGCAGCACTGTTGCATTTGGACTAACTGCGCGGGAATTTCAAAAAGTCACTGACTTATCAAACCACCCTCGTAATACTAGTGTATTAATTTGAAATCGAATATAATTAATTTTTTATCATTACTTAATCTTAACCATGTTAAGAATTTTAGAAATATTGTTTTTTTAAATATTTCTTTAAAATATATACATTTTTATTGTAAAAAATCCGCAAAACACTTATAAGTGGATTTACGAGACTAACGTATAAACTCAACAAAGTGCCGCACTTGTCATCAATTTGCTTCTCATTTTGATAAATGTTATACCGTCCGCGTGGAAGTATGACTCAACCGACCCATACTCATTTGCGGCGTTTGATTAAAAGCCATTTACACTGTTTTTGATTTGAAGGACGTATAATTTTGATATAGCCATTAAAAATAAAAAAAAAATTCTAAAATCCAGCAAAAATAGAATTCATTGGCCACTTGGCGTGTGTTCTGTTTAAAAGCTAATAAAGATATTTAAAAGAAAATTTTAGAATTATTGGATCTTACTAAATTCTTTTAAAGTATTTGTCTTTTACTTTTAAATTTGACCTATTAAATGTACTATATACGAGAAAAACATTTTCGATGTATTAAAGTAAATATATAATTCTTCAAAATCTTTCCAGTTGTTTCGCATGAAAAAATATAAACAAATTTTCGATATGACAAATGTTTAATTAAAAAATTTTTTAATAATAAATTTTGTTTTTATATTGCATTTTATTTATTGTTTTGTTTTGATTGTTCCTATTTCACGGTGGCTCCCCCTTTTAAATTTGTGCAATATCTATTTAAGTTTCATTGGTTGTTTGTTTTTGGTTACCATCCGGCATGGCTGTTGACCCATATTTGGCATAATTCATATAAAAATATTTTTAAAGCGGAACTAAAATATTTACGTTTCTACATTTGTTGCATTACAAATATTGTTGTTGCAACAAACTCCAAACAACTTGTGCAACATTTTTTATTTGGAAAAAAAAAATGTTTTTTTATTACATCTATAAGCAATATGACTCAGCCGCACGTTATTTTATAAAAAATTAATTTTTGGAAATTAATAAAGACTGCAGTAAATGTTATATACATTTTAAGTTCAAACCAATTATCTTTTTGTTTTGCTTCAAAATTTAACTATAAAATATGATTTTTATATCTATGTATACATATGTCTGACAATGGCTATAAGAGTTATATAATATATATTCAATATATATTACATTGACCTTATAGTCAATGTATCCACTTGAAATTGAGTATAATCATATACTAAATATTGATGGGTTCTCTTATTTTTCTTCCATTACTTTTATTAGTAGTGTTCAGCTCTGTGCTTAAGTACATAAAACGTGCCGTGTACTATATATAGTGGTGATAAAATTTTGATCAATTATTCTCGCCATTTTTTTGATAGGATTTCTGGTTGTCTGCTACCATATATATATCATTTGAAAGCTTACTTGACATTATATATTGGTTTCCCAACATGTTTCTGAAATCACTCGATGCCATTTGCTATATTTAATAGGGTTTCCACGTTTTTTATAACTTCAAATTGGTAATTTGTTCGATTTGATGTTTTGTAAAAATAATTTTTGCTATCAAAGTATTAAGTATTAACAAATCAAAGTTTGATTGCATTAATAAAAAGCTATGGTATTGAGTTCTTTCTGTACCGAACGTTTTAATAAAACTTGGAGAACTCTACGATATGCAGGCATCTATATGCCACACACCAATCAAAGAAAATCAAATCTTCTCATAGAGATCCCTCGTAGAGATATCAGTCATGCAATAGGTTTACTTACAGGTCATTGTATTCTAGGTAACCATGCTAGGGAGATCAAATCTCCCTTTCAACCATATCTGCCGCAGTTGTGGTGAGAACCATGACAATGCTTCCCACCTGTTTTGCTTCTGTCCGGCACATGCGCAGCGCCTCCTTAACACCTTAAGGAAAGCCTTTCTTTAATAAAGAAAGGCTTTATTGAGGATCTTGGCGAAATTCAGGACAATCTTTTGAATAGCTCATAAGCTTTGATAAAGGTTATAGATGATTTTAAACTTTGAGTTTTTATTAATATGTTAGCACAATGGGCTTATAGGCCTAAATGGATCCCCTTAGGGTCGCCGCTATAAACTAATCTAACCAAATAAGGAGCTATATTTAAAAGAAACATTTTGTCATGAAAAAACTATTAATATAGTAGGTATTCGTCTTGCTCATAATCTATCAAAAACAAGGTGTTAATAATTTTGAGTGCGGATATATACCTACAAGTGTAATAAGAGTATTGTTTTAAACTATATATAATTATAGACATCTGTTCTCTCTGAGGTCTATCTGTGGAAAGAAACCCATTATTCACCTAAACTTAAATAATCATTCATTAAAAATATTTCCATTTGTTTTATAAAAAAAATAAATGGTTTGTTTTTGCTCTTAGATTTGTTTTCATAAAACAGCAGTAAAAAGAAAGACCTCAATATTGTAATGTCAAAGAAATTCATTACTAAACAGTTTGGTGATTAGTTTTTTATATTTTTTTTTATTTTAAAAAATTAAAACTTTTATTGCACCATTTCCGTGGAGAAGAAAAAGATAAGTTATTTTTAAGGAGACTAACAAATGTTTGCTTCCACACTTCAGTATGAATGTTTCTTTTTGATATTAAACACTAAACTTCCGGCAATTTATCAAAATAGCAAAAGAAATGTTTTGAAAAAAGTATCTGTTAGAAATATGCATTTGCGTAAATCGGGTAATAAACTCTTACACAAATTATACTTTTTCATAGCACTTCATTGATGGTGAGAACTTATAATCTTAGATCTTAGTTTACAAATTTAATAACAAGGCTGCTTAAAAATTTGATTGATAATGTAATCTCTTTTATATCTATCTCGCATTCAAACTTTCTTGCTACTATCACATAGCATATCTTTACATATCTGTTACATAGATTGAAACTTTTCACACCTTAAAATCTATGTGAAGCAAATCAGATTGTCTTGACTATTAATCTCACAGTCTTTGACTGAATTCGGTATATTACTACAATTAAATTACTTCCTTAATACAATCAAATTGGTTCATTATTACAACTATATTAGTAACAGTTACGCATATCTGCGCCGTTTAGTTCCATATAGATTTAATTACGGTTATTAAAATAAAACTTTTATAATTAATTGATACTATTGACTTCTCATTTAAAAGCTGGTACGGACTTCACAGTTTTAGGTACATTTGAAATTGTTCAACTTTGAGATAGTATTTTCATGTCAGTCTTCCCTGTGGAACGCCTGTTTTAATTTTATAAATAATTTCAATTTTATTACATTAAATTTTTTATCTTTTTAACAAGCCAATTCTGTGTCAGAACCACAAAACTATAAATTACCGAAAATATAATGACCCTCGGTATATATATATATATATAAGTAGTTTAGTCAAATTCTATCCAGACAACCAGAAACGTTATAAAAAAACGATTATAAGTTATAAAAAGGTAGAAGAAGAAAGTTCAGTAGAAATTATTATTTACTGTCCTTTTTTCTTGTTGAAATTAAAAAATAAAATAATAAAAAAAATAAAAATATTACTGCAAATCAGAAGTATCTAAGCTAATATCTGTTTTAACAGAACACCATATGACGGCATGTGGCTAAGCTTGGCCTACACTCTAGTATTTCCTGTAGCAAATGTCTACCAGAACGATCTGTTGTGTTCATGTCCAGGTTTGTTCAGAACCAGGTTTAAGCTTTTGAGTGACCTTTGTTTTAACACATGCTGAGTGTTAATATTAGCATCATTGGTCGAACACTCGTATTTATCAATGCTTCCGGGTGGTTCAAACTTGGCCATTCTTCTACCCATTATTATGAGGATTATTTCCTCCCTGCAGCTTCAATTAACTAAGTTTAATATTACCTTTGGTTTAATTTGCATAATAATCGAAGGTTTCAGATTTTATCAAACGCTTTTTGTATATCATGGAAAATTTATAAACCTCCCTATTAATAAACCCTCTCTATAATACTATTTAAAAGGCTTGTTATCAAACGTTTTTTGTATATCATGGAAAATCTATAAACCTCTCTATTAAACCCTCTCTATAATACTATTTAAAAGGCTTGTTGAAAATAGTTACAATTAAGCATTTTCAGATAATTTGTAAATGTCGAACAATATTATTTATTTATTTTTTTTTTTTTGAGAAATTTCCATAAAGAAATAAGTAGCTTCAAAGAACAGTGTGTTAAATTGTTTACATATATTTGAATGATTTATTATCTAAATGACATATTCATCGATTATCGTATAGATAAGATAGATAATAATGTTTATAATTAATTTTTTTAAACTAATTTGATTATACAAAACATTAGTTATTATACCTTTTTCGAAAACATTCACGTTTTATTTTCACTTAATTTACTATTTCTTCCAATTAATTGAATAAATTTTTCCTTTAACCGAATTCACTCATTACTCAGAACTTGCCAAAAAGTTGAGTAGTTTTCGCTAATAACAAAAGTTTTCCAAGTTTTGTAAAACATTTTTCATCTCATTCGGGTTTTCCTTAAAGTTTTCACGATTTTCTTTTCACCACATGATCGAACGAGATCAGTTGTGGATGTGTCGTCGTGCTGTCGAAAACATTTTGTCTTGGGCATTACTCTTTTTCCTGTGATTAGTGCGTAAAAAAAAATTGAGTAAAATTAAAAAATTAAAAAAAAAAAAGAAAATTTATTGCTAAAGAAAACACTTTTAAGAAATTTTACTTTCGATACCACAAATGTGTTCCATATCGAAAAGAAATCTCTGCTAATAATAATTAATAATAAAATAAAATCAAATGCTTTATTTTAAATAATAAAAAATAAAATGAATTTATAAAAATAAAATAATAAATTCAGTTAATAAAAATGATTTGTTTAATAATATCATTTATATTATATAAGTGTAATAAATTTAATTATGAACAATATTATTAAAAATAAGTTTCATTTTTTGACTAGATTTTATTATTAAATCTATATAAAACTAAAAATAAAAAACTATTTTTACATGTGTAAAATTGCTACAATGTTTTTGTTTCCAAAAAAAGTTGACCCAAAAATTATTCTATAGAATTATGTGGCCTGCATTTTTTCAGAACTATAAAATATAATTAAATTTTATTTATTTTTTTAATTCACTTGCATATACAATGAGTGCATACATAAATAGTTTGGCTGTAAGCGAATAACAAGAGAATAGAATTAAAATTAATATTGAAAGAAAATTCTTTTAAAAAGTGCTCAAGGTATTTCTCTAACTATATTTATGATATATATATTTATTAATAATAAAAATCTTTTAATTAAGATACATCTTGTTTTTCTTTTTTTTTTGTTTCAATAAAAATTCGTTGTGTTGATAAGTGAAAATTTAAAATTTAATAAAAAAAAATAAACACACGAATTATATTGTGTGTAAGTGACGTCAAAGCCTCAAAGCAACAAAAATTAATCCGACAAAATTTATATATAATTATAATAAAATAATTTTAATATAAAATAAACATAGAAAGGAATAAATGTTTTCTTTAATTCCAATCATTTTAATCCAGATTAAATATTTTATTAACTGCGAGAATGCGTTTATAATTATCAGAAATTTTAAAATAATTTTGCTTCATTTTATTAAGAATGTGTATAAAAATGATTTTGTATCTAAATATTTTTTCAACAATCACAAATTATACATATTTTTGAAATTATAACAAAGTCTTTGTTCTTTTAGTGAATAATTAAAAAAAAAAAAATTAATAGCGCTTTTAATGAAATTTTAAAAGAAATTGCTTACCTCCTTTCCCTTTTTAAACCCTCGAAAATAATGTCACGCGACTAATTAAAGAAAAATAAACAGATGCGCTGACATGAGTGATCAAACACCACCAAAGACACCTACACCACAAGAAACAACGAGTGATAGAGAAAATGGAACTAGTGCAGGTGCTACTGCTACTGCTGCTGCTCCTAGTACAGAAACAGAAGCGGAGGTAGAGTTCAGTACTAATCCAACCCAAACAGAATTTCGACAAAATCATACACGTCCAAATTTGGCACCACCACAACCTCATGAGCTAACTGCGGAGTGGACCGTGCGTGCAAAGTTGACATTTGCTCGAGCTGGTGAAAATGTGCGACGCGAATTTAGTTCCAATGATCCTACTAATCCAGTACGTGTGATTTATAAATGGTCCACATTAGATGGATCGCACACAAACATCGATAATGAAGATGATGAAGAAACAACTACTTCCACTCAGCAAAGTCAGCAGCAACAAATGTCAAAAGGCTCACAAAAATCAACGCCACTAAAGGTGAGAATTACAATAAATTTTATTTAGCAAACACTTTGGCTTACAACAAACTAAATAATTTTACATACAAAAGCCAACATCAACGTCAACGTCAACATCAACGACACAACGTCAACCATTAAATCGTCAACAACATCATGAAAGTTTTCGTTCGACAACTTCCTCCAATTATGCTGACTATGGTGGAGCTGATTCAGCTTTCAGTGGTTCAAATGCTTCAAAATCGAATCAACAAGCGTCGTCTAATAAGCAGAAACAACCACGACAACAACAATCATTTACAACTTCAACGAATGGTGTTGGCAGCACATCAGCAAGCACAACTGCAACAAACCCTGGCTATGGTACACGTTGTCGTAGTACTTGCAATATTATTGTTTCTGCGGTGGCAGATTTTTTACCAGCGGATGCAATAGCAGCCGCTGTGGCTAGTAATGATAACTTAATGTCCACTCACGCCACAAGTGCTGCTGAATTTATAGCGGAAGAAGAACCAGATCCATTTATTTTTAACACTACCGCCTCTTACACAATTTTACCTGAAAAGGTAAATGATTTGTTGGAATTTTAAAATGAGAACAAGTTGTCAATATTAAAAATAAGGCTGTCGTGACGTATGAGTTACACATCGTATAAGGCAATTTGCAACATGATTGCCAATATGATAATAATATTGCTTATCTCATTTAAATATATTAATAATTTGTAGTTTATAGAATTTCTTTTTATTTATTGTATTTATTTTCTTATTTTTTTTTCTTTATAATATTTAATTTGATTTCTTTAGTTTCGCTTAAATAATACAGTCAAAAATAATTATTCTCCGTAAAATGATATTATGATATTATATATTTCATATAACGAGTTCATTTATTATATTATTGTTTAATATTTTTATTAATTTATTATTTTATATTTAGTACTTTTATTATATATTATATTTCAAATATTCATACAATGCAAAGGGTTTATTAAAATGCCTTTACTATGCTTCAACAGAATCTGAATCCTTGTTCTATTGTGATATAAATATTCATTATATGAATAATCTTTAATTTTGTAATTTTTAATAATGTCTATAATACTTTATATTATAAAGTATTATAATATAAATATAATAATTTATTATAATTATAAATTTTTTTAGAAATGGAATTTGAAATAATTTTAATTTTATTCAAATAATTTGAAATTTATATTTTTTCTGGATGTTTCAAATTATTTTCTTATTCTTAGAAGCAATAAATATTATCTTTTTCTATTCCAGTGTTTACGATAAATAAAACAAATTAAGTAGATTTTTGCCATGTGGGCCCATAATGAATGAAAACTATTTGTTTTTTTCAAAAAGATCAAATCTATGCAATAAAAACTTTTTTACAATAATGTTTTGATATAATTAATCACTCAAAAGCTCTAACAAAAAATATATAATAATAATATTGTACATACCTTTTACCCTCGTTATGTACAAACTAAACATGGACCGTAAATATAATATTGTCTTCAATATATTTTTATATAGATTTTTTTTTATTCAAGTCAAATTTATTGTATATAATACATTTATATCATTTATATATTTTCATAGTATGTACTATTTTTTGTAAATAAACTTTTTGAATTAATTTTTTTCAATAAATAAAAATTATATATTGTGTGCTAATCTACAATTGTATATTTCTTATACGCATAGTTTTCTATTATTATGTACATTTTTTCATCAAATATGTTTTTTTCTTAAATTATATATTTTTTATTTTGAACTTGTTGCTATTTTTAAGATATTTAGCGAATGTAAAATAGAATATGTGTTTGAAAGGTATTATATGCTAAAGTTCATTTGCCTCTTAACACAGAATCTGTTGAAGCTCCCAAATTTTGAATAAAAGTCTACAAAATAATAAATATTAATAGAATTTTAATAAATTTAACTTTAAACAGAAGTTTAAAAAGTTACTTCACAGAAATTTATTGAACACTCGGTACAGCACTGTTTTAATATTGACAACTTGTATTTAATGTATTTAAAATTTTAAGTTATATATTTAAATTTATATATGGTAGACTTTTGAAGATACATTTCATTCAACGTCAGCATCCAGGAATTTTTCGCAATGCAATAAAATTCTTAATTTACGTGATGCTTTCTCGCAAACTAGTGACACGGAAACTAAATATTTTGAAGAAAAATCTCAACGTCGAAAAGATTTTAACCGAAGCCCAAATAATGTTCCTACTGCGTATGGATCGTTGGAACAAAATTTGCAAAACAAACAACAACAACAGCAACGAAAAGGATACGATTATCGACGTTTAACATCCGAAGCATTATTGCAACCAACATTTAGCGGTAATGTGCAAGCGGGCGAGGGTAGCATTTTTATGGTGAGTGTGGAGGATATTGTTAGCATTACCTAAATTTTTTTTATAATTGTATTATTTTTTATAATAGCCTTCGTTAACACCTTCACCAACGCAGACTTTTAAATCTGCTTCATTACCACGTATACCACCATTATCAGAACAAGCGTACAATATGCAGCAAATTCAGCAGCAGCAACAACAACAACATAAATCTTCTTCCAGTGAGCAACAGAAGAAACCTCGCACTGTCCATATTGACGTCTACTGTACTGGCTCTGAAGATGAAGAACAGGCTGATGCTGAAGCATCCTCAAGTAGTTCCTCAGAAGGAGGTGCAAGTAAACAATATGAATTGGAATCAAATTCAACTCCGCAAACAGTTTTAGATACGGAACAAATGTTACTAAGACATCAACGCATAACAGGTGGTACCTTACCACGTCGCATAACACAACAGCATCAGCGACATAAACAACAGCAACAGAAGTCGGACTCACAAGCTGATTTGAATATTGGCCATGCTATTACCAAATCAAGTACTGCTGAAGAAGTAAACGAGTCGAAACAATTGCTATTTCGCAAACATATTGGCGATCAACGTGCTATAAAATTACAGAATTTACGCCAGAAATATATTCGTCAGTCTAGTGATGATGTGCTAAGTTCTAGCTATCCAAACTCTTCTCACTCCACCATACGTGATGCTACTTGTAGCAGTATTTCAAGTACGGTGCCTTCAACTCAAGCCGATGCAGGTGATTCATCTTGGAAAGAAACTGAAGAGCCGGGAGAAATATCTTATTCTCTAGCAAAATCTGATAGTTTTGATTATGATAACTCAATTGATCGTCTACGCATACATCAAATGGAAAGATTTTGGTCACGTAGTGTTAGTGAGGAACACACAGCAGGATCACAAATGACATCACCAACACATTATCCATCATCCAAATTTTTACAACCCATATATGAGGTAAATTCACAACGCAGCTCACCTTTTTCAACACCATTTCAACGCAATGATACATTACCATCAGAATCAGAAAATTTATCAGAAACTGATGTGTTTAATACGTATCCAGGACGTAGCGGTGCTATACCACATTATCAACAGCACTTGCAAAAACATATTACTAGTACTGAGCAACCACCCATACAAACGCAAACTTCGTTACAGCAAGTTTCACATTTTCCACGCAATCGTCCAGGATTTCTACAATTTTTTGGTCCACATGCAACCTCCAGTCAACAAGATGACGATAAAGTAAATATTTCAGGAGAACCAACATCAGCACCAATTATACCAGATACAATCGAACAGCAGCATTTACTATATCCTAACTATCAACATAATTTTGCACGCTGGAAAAGTGAAACTCGTGATAATTTATCTAATCCGAGTCTAACAACTTCACCATTAACTGTTCAAAGTCAACGTAGTTCACCGCAACCGTTAACCGCTCAAAAATGCTATTCTCCTCCACTACAACGTTGTGGAAGCGAAGCACCACCTACTACTACTACAGCAAGTACATTTACGTTTCAATCGCCAGCTGTAGCGCGTAGATTTGAAATGAAGCGAGATAGTCCTGCAGTCAGCGAAACTTCAACTATAGTTTCTGGCTATACGCCAGAATACTTGGAAAAAGCAAAAAAATTTGGTAAGGTAGTAAGCACAGTTCGAAAACCAGGGCATCATGTAGGCCCCACCAAAAATCCTAGCTGCACTTGTGAAAGCTGTCAACGCTGGTTATCTGAACGTTTTCAGATTCGGGGTCGCGCCTTTTCACTTGGTGAACGACCCATATTGAAACGACCGACATAATTGGAAGACATTTGTTTAATACTAACAGTCACTCACTGCCAGTACAGTAGAACGCAGATATAAATTTATATACATAAATTAAGCTCTTATAATGCATTTAGTGTTAAAATATATGCTTCATGTAAATTAATGTTACTATATGTCCAAATTGTTATTTACCTACTGTTTTGTTATTTTCTAATTATTTTTAAATTATACCAAATGAATATATAATTCCATAATAATACTAATAAATAATTTTTCTAATAAAATGTAATGTTTAAGAAGAAATAAGAGACTAATCATTGTAAATTTGAAATTGTTCCTCAACTTGAATAAAATCGTATAAGTACATGCTAATATGATTGTTTTTATTATAAGGTATCTAATTTATTACTATAGCTTTTGCTTATAAATAACACATAATTGGTTTTATTTATTCAGTTTTAACTACTTTATATTAAGACTTGTGGATTGTATAATATTTAAACTTATTTTATCATAATGTTCAACATACATGATACGTAAGTGAAGATATAGCATCGTATATATAACATATAGATATAGCATTTTTATCATATATGATATGTAAGTATATATATATCTATGATATAGCACGTATGTGCTGTTATATAGCAGGTTTTTTTAAAATATTTTCTAATTTATTTAAAAGTATTATAATTTTGATATGTAATAAACGTATTTTATAATAATCCAAGAACATTAAAATTTTATTTCAGTAATAACGTTACTCATTATTTTGATACTCCCATTAATACATTCTTTTTATTTTGTATAGGCTAATAGCCGCCTCTCAGAATCGTCCCGCAAACTTGATCTCTTACGTCATTCATTAGATTTGAGACGTTTAGAATTACCAACAGATTCACCAGCAGCACAACAATTAAAGTCAGAGTTGCAGTCAGTACAACAAGCGTCATCTCCTGTAGCAGTAACATATATACCATTGCAACCCTTCCATGGTGGCTTTCTAGGTGGTAAAACATACCAACAAGTGTCATCCCTTGGTCGTTGCGCAAGTGTAACAGGTAAACTAGAAGTGCGACTGATGGGTTGTCAAGATTTATTAGAGGATGTACCAGGACGCTCACGCCGTGATAAAGATAACAATTCATCTCCTGGTGATCTGCGTAGCTTTGTAAAGGGTGTCACTTCACGTAGCAGTTCTAAAAGTTATTCAGTTAAAGATGAGACATCATTCGAAATAATGGCAGTAATTAAATTGGATAATATAACGGTGGCGCAAACTTCCTGGAAACCCTGCTCCCAGCAAGCGTGGGATCAGCGCTTTTCCATTGATCTAGATCGTTCACGTGAACTTGAAATTGGTGTTTATTGGCGTGATTGGCGCTCGTTATGTGCTGTCAAATTTTTGCGTTTAGAGGAGTTTATTGATGATGTGCGACATGGTATGGCGTTGCAACTAGAACCGCAAGGTTTACTATTTGCTGAAATTAAGTTTTTGAATCCCATGATTTCTCAAAAACCAAAACTGCAACGACAACGCATGATTTTCAATAAGCAACAAGTTAAAAATATACCACGTGCCAAGCAAATGAATATTAATGTGGCCACTTGGGGACGTTTACTGAAACGAAATACGCCCGCAAATAACAATATGACAACGTCAGGTACAGGTTCTGGCTCAAGAGACAGTGAATCACCTATTTCACGTACACCATCTTCGGGAACTATAGACGCTGAGTTAGAACCATATTCTCCAGGAAAGCTAGCTCAAAATATGGAATATGATCCTGATGCTGGTATAAATGAACATGTTGAAACACCAGGCGAATGCCCAGATCCAGCTGTTAGTGGACTAAGCGGTAAACGACCATTATCAATGCATGGAATTGCTGTTTTGCCCCCCGAAGTTCTCTCACCACAACAAACAACAAAACAAAACAACAATTTACATCTACAAATCGCTGGCAAAAATGCAAGTACTACGGGCACGAAATCGTCTACAACGAAAACTCCTACACCTGTGCAAACACAGCCACCACCAGTGCCAACTACTACACCACCTAAATTGGATCAAGAGGTAAGGTTATGCATAAATCTATATATTAAGCATTTGAAAGTCTTTATTTTTTATTAATTGAAAATAAACAGTAAAGTTTATAGTTCAAAAATTACTTGCTAGTTTAGTTTTGTATAAAAATTTGTAAATTTTTCCGCGTTTTAATTAAAATGTAATTAAAATTGGTGTTCGCTATTTTGTTGTGCGGTTAACATATATATATATAAATTTTTTTTTTTTTGAAAACATGTTATTTTAATCCTAAAGTTTAAATAAAATTTGATGGTGATGGCGTAAATAAGTAAATTTGCATTTATAATTATTTTTTTGTTTTTGTTTTTTATTATCATTTTTCTATTTTCTTTTTTAAATAATAATAAGCAATCTGTAAAATTATTTCATATATCATTTTATCTTCATTGTCGTCATGACTATTAACTTTACCCAGAATAGAGGGCTAGAACGATAAGTGCAATATCAATTTCTTTATATATTTTAGATATTTCATGTTATTTAGTTAATACTTTGTTTTAATTTAAAAAAGTCTTAGGTTTATGTTTCTTAAAACAACGTTGATGATATGTTATAGTACGCTTTAAAATAAAAATTCAGTGCTGGCTTTTCAAAAGTACATTAACGATAACTACCTTTAATACCTTTGAAATTATCCGATATTCAAACTATGTAAATACGATTATCCGGATCTGCATCAATTGGTCCGAACTGTTCCAATATTTATTTTGCACCAAATGACTCAAATCAATATATAAAATAAATGTTAATAAAATAATAATATAAATGTTAATAAATAAAAAATAATAAAAAACTAAGCTATGTATATGCTTTTATATCTACAAACCAAATGAGAATTATAACAGATTCAACAAAAATTTTAAATATTTCCATAGTTCGAATAATTTAAAAATTATTTATTATTCAAATTATTTGATGCGAACTACTTATCGATATTCGGATTGTTATATGAATATGACTTTATATGAATACAACTTTATATATTTACTATAATAAGAAATTAATGTATATAGACCTCACTCAGATAATTCTGGGTTAATTGACATTTGAGAGAAATACGGATAATCTACTAAATTATATATTATTTTATTTTGATATATTCTTATTTATATATTCTTATTGATATATTAATTTACGCAGGAAAGTGCTTTGCTTAAATCTGTCAGAACTAATTGTGTTATAAAATTTATAAAGCTATTCACTTGAACTTAGTCTTGAAAATATATATATGTATATTGTTAAAATATATATAGGTATGTAAATAAATCAAAAAACTTAACTTTAGTTTATTTTTAATATAATTTTAAATTTATTATGTATTCTATCAAATAATGTCGTGATTTTTTGATAATTCAAAGTTATTTTAGGCATGTAATTTAGGTATTTCTCCTTGTGGAGTGCTATTCTTTTTTTTTATCCAATAAGTAAAAGATATTTTCAATTAGTTATATATAAAGCCCATATTCTGGAAGTTTCGGAGATTATCATTTCGCATGTCATTAAAACTTCATTAACTCATGTCATCCAATCTTTATATATACATATATATATATATATATATATAGTTTCCTAAGTTATGTCATCATACTTTATCCATACTTTTCTTTATTTTTTTCATAATCGTAAAATGGTGAATTTGTTGCGTCTCTGTTTCTCTTTATATATATTAATTCGTTTGTTTCGTTATGTTGTGTGGAATTTGCGAATTGTTTGTTTTTTTCTTTTGTTAATCGACGACAGTTACAGAGCGCGTTGAAAGAATTCGATTTTCTCAACCAAATGGATTCGCAACCAAATACTCTACAACGTCCTGCCCAACAGCAGCAACAACAACAACAGCAAAGACAACAGCATTCTAATTATCAACAACAACTACAGCAAGAGCATTTACAGCAACAAATGTTGCAGCAACATTTTATCGCACAAACAACACAACAAGCCATGCAATATCATACACCATTGCCCACACAACAACCGATGCCAAAATATCAGGCAACAGGTAGACCTAGTAAGGGCTCTCTACCAACAACTCCGGATACAGTAACAATACCAAATTTTGTAAATAACAATAGTAGTTATAATAATTCAACACTAAGTCAACATAATCTCAGTGAACAACAGCAACAATATCAGCAACAACAACAACATCATCATCAACAGAATAATAATGTTACCACAGGCGTTGACGTATCGAATCTTTATCATCGGCCTGTATTGGCTATGCCACCTGTCATTTTAATGGGCACGGATACACGAATTCACAATGATTTAAGTAGTAGTCCCATTATTGAGATGCCACCTTCACCCTTACCCAATTCTATGCCCATTGTAGAGTATCCAGACGATGATGACTTGATACAAGATCCAAACTGCAGCTACAGTACCGGTTATGGCGATCGATTTTGTGTAGAGGTTAGGAATTAATTTTTTAATTTTGTTTTTAATTTAATTCTTAGTTTCATTTATTTAAATATTATTTTTATTATTTTTTAAGTTTTTTAAATTTTTAACATAGCCATTTTGTATTAGATATTGCATATATATAAAAATTTTAAAAGATACTTAACGTGTATTATATTAATCTACAACACCCACTCATGTTAAGCGTTTCCAAGTATCTGCAATGCCACTGAATGGCTATGTTATGATATTACATTTTATGTTTTTATTGTTTTTGTGCTTCGTTTCGAAATTTTTTATATGTTTTGTGTCTCCAGAAGAAAGCTTTTCTGCGTTCAAAGAAATGGGTGTAAAGTCTTAAGTACCGTTCTGCACTCGATATGGCAGCTTTATTTATTTGCTGTACATTTCTATTTGTTGTTAATATTTGTTATGTACATAATGTTACATGTGTAAATAAATACTCTGTTTATGTATTGCTCGCTATATACTGAAAATCAATATATATGTGTATATATATATTGTCTAAAATAATTTTATATAACTGCACAAACTACACACGCACACATTTGCATACATTTACACTAGTTAACACATTTCAATATAATTTTTCTACTATTTTTTAACATAAATAACATTATATTAAAAATAATATAAATTGTATTAATCCGAAAAGGTGTACTTTTTTTTGTTATTGTATCTTTTTTACACAAAATTTTAATTTATTGATAAATATATTGTTTTATGAAAATATATTTAAGCTTGAATTTCTTTTAAGATCTATTTTCGAAAACATCTTCACCTATCATTCCAATTATACGCATTACTTTCATGATTTATACTCGTTTTGGATTCCCAATTAAAAATTATTTGTTTAGTATTAAGATATGGTAACACCCTAAAGATATTTCTGTTTGGGGAAGATCCATTTAGTTCTCATAACTTCTGTCTTGTATGTTGTGACAATAATATAGCAGCGAGCCTCAATAATTTTTATTTTGTCACAAAAATCACTGATAAAAATGTTCTGTATGATACTATTTAAGGATTCAGTTAGAAATTACTTTTTAATCTGCTGTAGAATAAGAAGAATTCTCTTCTTATTTATTTTCTATTCTATTATCGAGTTCAGTTTAAACTTGAATTAAGCATGGATTGTTTATTTGGAGTTCTTGTGGAACTAAGGCATTAGAAAAAGATCATTCTTTTCTTACGCTAATACACAATATGTTATAATCAACTTTCTGAAGATACTGTAAGATATATTGATTACAAAATATAATTGTGTTCCTGATCAAGTTTTTCTCACAAAATTTCATCACTGATATGTATGCTATGTCATCGAGATTAGTAGAAGAATGTAAGGAAATTATCAGTGAACTAAGCAAGAGGTCCAAGATTACTCTAGTCTGGGTTCCTGGTCATTCTAATATTGTAGGAAATGAGCGCGCTGACGAGCTTGCTAAACTAGGCGCCTCTTCCACGGATACCCCTATTTCGATCTCTGCCCCTGTCAGCTACGGTCGTAGGCTGATTCATGACCATTTTTTATGACAGGCAAATAGTGGGTGAACCCTTACTGCCTCAGCAGCCAGATCAAGGGCTACTTGGCCAATCTATTCCAAATATAGAAACTCTGACTTAATCTGTAGAAACAAGCATTAGCCAGATTCTTGCCTTTGTAAATGCCTCTGGCTGGTTCTAGCTTGACCCTCTATCTACTATCACGAGGTTTTTTTGTGGATTCAAAACGGCTTTTTCTTTAGCTAATTGAGGAGGATTCGGAGGACGACCACAACTAACTAACTATGTATGCTATTTTTTACAAAATTACTGTAATATTCGTCGTAATATTTTAGTACTTTTATAACTCTACTTCTAATAGGTTAACTGTTTGAAGAAAGTCACGCAAAGTAAAGATTTCATTATATGAATCAGCGAATCATTATGGTTTCAGTTTAAAGTCATAACGGTTAGGTCTCAATTATAATGAAAAATAAGAGATCCTCATTTAAAATCGATTATACTATCAAGAAATACTTCACAGCCTCCTACTTTAAACAGTTTAGGTTCTAAACATAAAGTCATGTGTACTTTAATGATTAATGAGTAACTGTCTATATTTACTTAAATATATATTTAACGGTATGTTATTGCCCTTAGATTCCGCGATTTTAGAAACAATAGTTTTACTATTTTGATTTCGTTTTAAATATATTTAAAAAAAAAATTTTTTTTTTCCTTTAAATTTTTCCTTATTTTTTTCTACTCTCTATACCAAAATCTTATTTCTTTGTTATTGTTGTTGTTTTTGTTATTGTTTTTGTTTAATGAAATATTTTCCCATAAAATATTTTTTTCATTTTTTACATTTTACTTATGTGTTACCAAAAGCAATAAATTATTTTCACAGTTATATAAAATATACTTTGAACTATATATAAAAAATATTTGCGGCACAAATTTTATAAATAAAAAAATTTATTACATTCATGCCTTTTTTTAAATTATTAATATAAATATTCTGTTTTTAATTAAAGAAATACATATTTGAAAATAAAAATAAAAATATTCATAAAAAAAATTATATGTAAGATATATAATATGTTTGGTTGTTAAAAATGTTGCCCTCTAATTTAAATACATTTTTTATTTTTAAATATTATAGTTGACCTACCTCCTATAGTAGCTCCTACCTAGAGATTAATTACAACGCTTAGTGGGTTTAGAATATTTTCAGAGTTCAATTTCTTTTTTTTTTTCGATGAATTGAAGTATTTAATCAAATAAGTCTAACCGTGTCTTATTTCTTTTATCCGATAAAAGGTGTTCATCGGGATAATTCTTTCGGTAAACATCTATGCCGCGCTAGATCGTATCGCTTACTGCAATACAATAGTTTGAGATTTTTAGTGGTAGATCAAAAGTGCCTTTCGGATGTCGTGACAGTTTGTAAGCCAGATCTGGTTTTCTTGAACCTTATCCATAATTTGATCGGCTTATTTGTTGTTACATTCTGTGTAAAAAATATCTAAATTTTTAATTTGCCATTTGATAATGATGTGTGACTCATTCTGTTCACACCAGCATTTTTGCAGTAATACTTTTGAGTGTTCTGCGATGGCATACAACTAACGGTTGTGAAAGGGTTTCTGATTTAAAAAAAAAATTAATAATTTTGAGAAACTTAAGTTGAGCAGTTTAAGAAATCAAAACAATGTCGGAATTGATCAGGAGAACAAAACAACAATTTCTCTTCTCTTGTTTTCTGACTTGTTTTCTCTTTCCGAAGTTGAAATAGTTACTATGAGGAAGTGGTTTCGACCCAATTGCAGAATTGCCAGATGCAAATATGTAACTATCAAAGCCATATACTTTTTTCCAATATTGTTATGTTGAACCTAGTTAAGTCAGTGCACTTGAGCATTTTTACTCTCTATTAACTGTGAGGTCTCTTTATAACCCCATTCTACACCATGACTGGATTGTTGTTTATCACTTCATTAGACTAAGCAATAACTGACCTCAGATCTGCATATCTCCCCAAGGAGCCTATAACCATTCTGAGATTCGATAGCGCGGTGTTGGTAAGCCTGTCAGTTTTCGTAAATAGTTTCAGTGCTCAATACTTTATGTATTTTTTGATCCGATTTCCAATACATTTTTAATATATAAACAATTTTTATTTTGAAATATTATTTAATTATTTCTTATAGATATTTGTAGCACGGTATTCTATATAGCAACCTGCTATATAGGATATGTTAATAAATTTCACTTGACTAGATGTGTTTAGTATTTGCGTTTCACTTATATGGACTTGTTTCAAATATATAAAGCATTTATTTATTTATTTATTTTGTTGAAATGAAGAGACAAGCGCCTTGAAGACTGAACCTTCTGCCAAAAATGCACAACTACAGATTTATAAAACTCATAAATTGTATGAACTTTTTTACGTTTTCAAAGAGAATTCTGTAGAGATGATGTGTATGTTTAGATGTATATATATATTTTTTTGATTTCAGATTTACCTTTCATAATTCTTAAACATACTAGCAACAAATGCTTTTATTTTAAGTTTATACAAAATTTTATTTTCAAATCGAAACGTAAATAAACTTTTGTATAATTTTTTATTTTCAACTTGAGTCAGTCAGTCAGTGTAAATTTTGTTTTAGTTGTTATTACCGCCTTTTTTACAATTTTTTTCTTCCTAAATTATTATGAAACAGTAAAAAGTTTAGTTATTTTAAAATTTAATAAAGTTTCGTAAATATGTAATTATTTTTAAATTCAATTAAGTTCCGTAAACATGTTACTATCAACACTTCTGCATTTGACAAGAACTTTCCGGAAAATTTGTGTGCAAGACCCACAGACCCAAAATAGAGAAAACCTAAAAAATTTAGTGCCAGCAAAATATATACCATCTTTTACTTTAGATGCACTTGTACATGTTCGTATCTAAGCACTACCTTTAAAGCTTTGTATTTCAATTAAAAAAGTAATGAGTTATAGTAAAATTTGTTTCATTTAATGAAATGGGATATTCAGACATTCTCGGAAACTCAATAAAATGATAATATCTTATGTATATTTGTTTGTGTAAAATTGTAACGTTATCTATTCACTGGGGTATCAGGTAAATGATAGCATTATCCCGGTGTATAGTTATAATTTTATTATCTTAACGATTAAAGAGTTACCGAGGTACGTTTGAATAGCCCTAATATATTTTAAAATATAAAATGAATCTTACAAATTAATTATCTCTCACTGATGTCACTTTAGTCATTATACATCATTATTATGCTTTTTTCGAATTAATTTTTCATATTTTCGTGTTTGTGATTCACATTTTATCATATGATATTCACTCACATTTTTATGTAAACTCCTTTGTAATGTAACAAAGAGTTATAATATAATAATGGCATAATGTATAATTATGGACTTATTCAAATTGTACTGCATTACAAATTTGTACCATTTGCAGGCTCATATCAATCTTGTACATATAACAATTGAACCCATAGAAACAACAATAGAAACATCAACAATAACAACAACTACAACAAAAATTCTAACTTCAGCCTCTTCCACTGATCTATGTAAAGAAGAAGTTTCTGATAAAGAAGATAAATTCTATCGAAATGAAATCATTATAGATATTTCAGACCTACAAAACGAAGATAAACATGACAGTGAGAAAAGTGAAAGTGAGAATGAATATGAAAATGATAATGAAGAAAATGATGTACAGGTAATATCTGCAGGAGAAATATACTTTTGGTATATTGAAAATTATTATAGACAACATGAGTCTAAAAGGTATCACGCTATCTGTGAAATGAAAATTATATATGAAAATTCGTAATGTTATAGTTTTTCAATATCTTTTTTTAAATTTATTTCGCTAAAGTTCTTTCATAGAAAATATAAAACCTGTAAAAAAGTAAAAACCATCTGTCACTATCATTTAGTTAAATGTTTAAATTAGCAAAGAAAATATTCATTTTATCAGGCATGCGTTAATTACAGTGGGTGACCAACAAATTCCTATCTGCATCTTGTATTTATGACTGTTAAAACCCCAATGGATAAGACTAGATACATGGAATAAAAATAATGTATTTTAATGTGTTTATGACTGTTAAAAACCCAATGGATAAGACTAGATACATGGGATAAAGATAATGTATTTTAATACAATTTCATTTTTCCTGCTGAGTAGTCTCACAGACTGTGCATCCTATTGAGTTTATAAAATTTATGATTTAAGATGATCTTTTATTCTTGCCGATTTGAAGTCGAAAACATACTCAAGGAAGTACTTTTTTCCTAATTGCCAAAACTGGACTATCAAAGAGAAGGACTTCTTTTTCGTCTAAACTTCAATAATTAATTTTAACAGAAACACACAGTTTTACGAATGTGTATGAGACTTTTTATATTAGTGGTCTAAAGTGCTTAGGCTAGCAGTAACCTAATTTTTATTTCCTTCGATATTTCTATGACCGGAAATTTTGGTGAGGCTGTTATCATTGAGCCGATTTTCGACTTATATTCTTTGTCTAGCTTTGATTTAATGGTTACAGATTTAAAGAGCATAAATTTCTACTAAACTGTCAAAATGACAACCTACACTTGATGTGGATAGATAGCCGAAAAGAAAAATTTAAATAAGTTAGTAGCAAAAATATTCGCGTATTTATCCATTTTAGCTATTAAAAATATTGATATGTCATAATTTGCTTAAGATCTCACTCTTTTTCATTTATATCTTTATGAAAATATTACCTTCAGATTCACCGGATTCATAATTTATTTATTTTAATAAATAAATTACAATAAATTACAATGCTTTCTATTTCGAATTATGCAATTAAATTAATTTTGTGCATATAAGTAAGTTCCTATAGTACACAAGACAACATCGTGGTTGTTACAAATTTTTTGTTTTTTCTGGCACATAGTTTTTGCACATGGATTGTTGTTTCTTGTTTTGTTGCGCTGCTTAAAAATACTCAATTCAACTGAGATGTAAAAATAATAAATTATTCTGCGGTAATTTCAATGGCTATGAAAAGTAAAATTGCATTTAGACACACAAATTTTAGCAGGAAATTTCTGTTGAAACTTTTTTAATCTAAAACATTTTGATAGGACGGTGAGATATATTTAAAAAAAGATAACAAAATTATAGCATCATGGTTTGATTATTTATATATATTTTGCAAGTTCACCAAAGTACTTTGAAATAAATATAAATATCTATATTTGAAAATAGTGAACTGTAGAAGAAATCCAAGTTATTTATTGTTTATTAAATTCAAAGAATCCCAGCCTTTAGTTCACATAGAAAAATGATGATAATTTTACTTATTTTATTATTTGAATATTGTTGGTTTGTTTGAGATCTATTACATCTATTACATTCAGGAGTAAAAATCAATATTTTTCTTCTATAGAGAGGTGCAAACACCTCTTAACACAGGAATTTAAAAGTTTTAGTTGAATGCAGAATTTCTTTTTTTTGAAATTTGTTTATTTTCTTAATTAATATAATGAGAAATAAATAATAAATAATTACGTCACGAAAATAAGTAATAACATATATTGAAAATGTCAGACTACTTATGAATTGACCTGTTCAATTTAATTTCTATCAACAATAAAATTAATTCAAATATATACATCAGAGTAAGCAGAAGTCCAAGTGACAGGTTACAGCGCCTGCACAAGGGGTTCTAAGCAAAATTTGCTAAATTTGTTTCATGATACGATTCAAATATTCTAAAATGTCGGGAGGTTTTCGTGTAAATCTGGTTCGGTTCAAAAACCGTACTGAAATCGGTATTGTTTCATTTACTTTGTGAAATAATGAACAAAATCGCTTTGTGTTCGATTCAGTTTTAATTGAATTGTTAACGAATTCGACACTAACTGTCTGAATACCTTCTTCATACGTAATTCTTCTATTAAAATATAGACTTAAAATTTTAAAATATGAAAATTCCATCAGATGAAATGTGAAAATGGCGTATAAATTTTGACTCTTCTATTAGTTAATAGATGTCGCTTTCAATACTTTTCAACCAACTGGTTTAAATAATTTAATAATATTTTTTGTTTTTTAATAACGAATAATCGATAGGTTTCACTAGATAATATTTTCAATTTACCAATTATGGTATTGATAGTGTAAACCAACAGTATTAATGAAATAGTTATGTACTTATATATGTTTCTCAGTCCTTATATATTTTTTGTTTGTCGGATATAGTACCATTTATAGTAATTTTAATAAAATTGATTTCTTCTTTGATTATAGTCATGCAATTACAATTTATCTATATAATATGATACATTATTGCTATACAATAAATTAAATGTGTAGAAGTCCCACTTCCTTTAGCTATTGTTATTAAAAGAGTATTATATATCCATACTCCATTAGAAGATTGCCAATTCATCAAATTATTTTCAATCGTTTCTACTTCTACTCAGTTGTCTCAAGTCGTTCAACGATTTGCCCGTCTATGCTTGCATAGTACTTCTCCAAAATTCTTATAATGAGATTAATTAGTTATCATTGGAATTAGTTTTTGATGTACCTATGCTACACTACACTTAATACAATTTAAAAAACTTCTTAATACAAACTCTCATTACATGCTATTTATTATTTCAGTTTTTCAACTGGCTAAGATGAATTTATTGATCAATTAAAATTATAAAAAATTATAAAAAAGCACAAAAAACTGTTATAAAAAATTTGTAAATATATTTAACATTACTTACGTAGTTTTAAAAAATTTTTAATAATTAAATTCAATATATATAAAATTAATACTTTATTTATACATATATAAAATTCCAGTGCCGATAAAATATATTTATATTAAAGCAATTACTAATTAAATATTTATACTTTTATAGATAATTCCACAATTTGGTAACATTACTATTAGTAATAACAATCAACAACAACTTAACCAAAATTCTCCAATTATACAAGAACCACCAACGCCAACAGTGTTTAGTTTGCCCGCTGCCTTACCACCACAGTTCCCACAAGCAGCACAGCGGCAACAGAATGCTGCATACCAGCAACAGACGCAACAACAGCAACCAATTTACCAGAACCAATATGAGTTGAATAGCTCAGCTCAGTCTGCGTCCACAAATGCTGCACAACGCAAAGTAGCTCGTGGGTTACAATATCGTGATCCAGGATTTGAAACTCGACGACAATCTCAGTCAATGGTTGCTGACTCGCATGGTATGCTTTCTATTGAGAATTTCCGTATGTTGAGCGTGTTAGGACGTGGACATTTCGGCAAGGTTATATTATCCCAACTGCGCCAGAATAATCAATACTATGCCATTAAGGCGCTGAAGAAGGGTGATATTATATCTCGTGATGAAGTTGAGTCATTGTTAAGTGAAAAGCGCATCTTTGAAGTAGCCAATGCCATGCGTCATCCTTTTCTTGTCAATTTGTTTGCATGCTTTCAGACTGAAGTAAGTGGAATTCAAATATATTGTATGAAACTGGCTAAGTTAATATTAACTATTTTTTACATTTTAGCAACATGTTTGCTTTGTAATGGAATATGCAGCCGGTGGGGATCTTATGATGCATATACATACAGACGTATTCTCGGAACCCCGTGCAGTTTTCTATGCTGCTTGTGTTGTTCTTGGCTTACAATATTTGCATGAAAATAAAATTATATACAGAGATTTAAAGTTGGACAACTTATTATTAGATACAGAAGGTAAATAAATAATAATATATATAAACCAAAAATGTTAATATTATGTTAAACTTGATCAAATAAAAAATCCTCCTTTAATTTATACCTGAAATGCTTCAGTTTTCATATTAATATTATTAAATATTAAATATTAAATATATTAATATTAAATATTAAAATATTAGAAGTTCAAATAGCTTAAATAATATCTAATTTAAATTGTATGATTTTTTCTCTTAACACATCTTAACACATCTTTTAATTATTTATTATTGTTTTATTTATATTTCAGGATACGTTAAAATAGCAGATTTTGGTCTTTGTAAAGAGGGAATGGGTTTTGGGGATCGTACAGGTACTTTCTGTGGTACTCCAGAATTTCTGGCTCCCGAAGTACTTACGGAAACTTCGTACACTCGCGCTGTTGATTGGTGGGGACTGGGTGTATTAATATTTGAAATGCTAGTGGGCGAAGTAAGATTCTTTAATAATCAAAATTATATATTTTTTAATCATTTAATTGTATTTAAACATATTGATGTAATATTTAGATACATATTCTTTAAATATATAAAAAATATATTTGTTTTTTATTATTTATTTAAATATTTTATTTATTGCGTATATATTATTTTTATTTTATTATTTGTTTAAATATTTTATTTATTGTGTATATATCGTTTTTATTTTATTATATATTTAAATATTTTATTTATTGCATATATATTATTTTTATGTTATTATTTATTTAAATAAATAAATGAAATATTTATATGTTGATTTCCCTATGATAAATACAATAATTTTATAATCCTTTTATTTAATAATATATATTAATATATATGTATCCCAATGAAAAAAGAAAAAAATATAAAAAAAGTAAAATTTTAAGAACTATTTGCTGAATCTAACTATACGTTTGCAGTGCCCCGTTTTCGACAAGATTTTAGCGTATGCTTTGACTTTTTAGCTAAAATTTTGAAAATATGGAAAATAATATGTACTTAGGTATACTCGTGAATCTCGACGACTAAGTGTCGTTTATCATCCCGCCCAAAGAAATTTTACAAGTAGATATCCACGGGTTACAAAAACAACGACAGCTATAGTGTATTTTATTAGAGATATTATTAAATCTTAAAGTCATAAGTAAATGAAACATTCTAACTTATTTTATTTTTTGTAATTGTAATATTAATTATTATAAACTTATTTTAATTATTTAATATAGAGAATTTGTTTAAATGTTTGTTTAAAATTCTTTCCTTTTATTTTAGTCACCGTTTCCTGGTGATGATGAAGAAGAAGTATTTGATTCAATTGTGAATGATGAAGTACGCTATCCAAGATTTTTGTCTCTTGAAGCAATTGCAATTATGAGAAGAGTAAGTTTTTGAAATTTAACATATATCAAATATATTATATTAAATAACTATATATTATAATTTTAAGCAAAAAAAAATATTATAAAATACATTAATTCTACTTTAAACATAAAGTAATTGATAAGTTACTATTAATTAGAGTATTAAGAGGCACATAGTTCGTTCGTCAATTTCGTCGACAAAGTGTCGTTCATCACCGTACCAAACGATTTGTACAAGCAAATCCTTAAAACAACTATAACAATAGCGTGATGAAATTCATCCAGTGGCAATTTACATGTGACATGTTCACCATATTCAAGGGAAAACTAAAATGCCCTTTATAAAAAACAGTTATCATAGATTGATATTCACAATTAGCACTACAGTTAGTGGATCTTCCATCTACGTTGCGTAAATACATTCCTTTATAGACATCATGCATACATCCATATCTCCTAGAAAGGCTTTCTAATCTTCATACCATGGCTTTACAACAAAATTGTATATATAGCTCTCTCTCTCTACAGATCATGAATACATCAATATGTGCTGCAAAGGGATTCCATTCTCCATACCGACCAGTTTTTTCTTTGAGATCATAGTCGTATCACAACAAAATTCTTAGCAGGCTTCTTTTTGAAATTTCTCTGGACGAAAGACGACTTATCTGTGCAGCAAGAACAGTCTTTAGATAATTGAAGTCTGCATATAGTTACTTGCTACAGAGTTACTTATTTTGCGTAGATATGATTGTCACTGAATATGTGTTTCTGTCTTCTCATTTCTAACTCTCTTAATTTATGACTACGCCTCCTTGAACTGACACGAACTCACATCTATACCGGTTGGTTTAAGAAACTATAATTGTAGTGTGACTTTTGTGGATGGTTGGTGTTTACGCACATTTTTATAGTTATTACTAGGATGAGTATATTAGAACCACTTAGAATTAAAGTACTGAGAGAAATTTAATGAAAGTAATACAAAATTGAATAATAAAAGAAGACATAAAATAGTATATTTGTAAGGATGCTTGTAACGGATGATATATAGTATACAGCATTGTCTATTGTAATTGAGTTTATTTTTTTAATAACTTTATATTATTAATTTCCAGCTTCTGCGTAAAAATCCAGAACGTCGTTTGGGTTCATCGGAACGTGATGCAGAAGATGTTAAAAAACAAGCATTCTTCCGTTCAATTGGTTGGGATGATTTGTTGTTACGTAGAGTAAAGCCACCATTTGTACCCACAATTGTAAGTAAACCATTTTTTTGTTCTTAAGTTTATATTAAAAAAATTCTTTCTAAAAAATACAACGAAAAATTTTATTTACAGAACCATCTTGAAGACGTTTCGAATTTCGATGAAGAGTTTACTTCCGAAAAACCACATCTGACACCACCTAAAGAGCCACGGTTATTAACGGACGAAGAACAACACTTCTTCAAAGATTTCACTTATACAGCGAATTGGAGTTAAATTATTTTTTAAAAAAACTTAAATTTAGTTGTAGGAAAAATTCATTTGTATGTTTCTGTTGTTATAAATTAATTGTCATTAGCATGTATTGCAAAGCGAATTGTTTGATCGCGTATTACTTAGTTTTTAAAAATTTTGGTTTAGTTTTTAGGAATACATACATACGTACATTTCTAGTACATTTAAACAATTTATTTTAATTTTTATTTTAAACATCTTAGTTTGTATATTGATCTTAGCTATTATGAGTAACTGAAATTATTGAAGAATTAAAAAATAAACATTGTGCAAGTAAGCAAAAATCATTGTAATGAAAAAAAAAAAAACAATCTATAAATTAAGAAATGATTATATTTTAAAGGACTTTTAAATTTTAAAATTAGCATTGTTTTTTGCAATTTTGATTGCATTAAATTTTATGTAAATCAAGCATTTCTACGTTAATAAATTTCTAACTTTAAAGCAAAAATAAAATAAATAAATATTAAAATACATGCTTGCTTTGTGAAATTAAAAAAAATCTGTTATTGTAATAAAAAAAATTTAAATCTTAAAAATTATATTATATATTAAAATTATATTACATAAATTATAAAATATAACTGATAAAAAATATTTCTAAATTATATATAAAAATATAAAATATTATGATAATAATTATATTTATTAATGTAGTAAATCATAGAAAGAAAAAAATGTTTGTGAAACATTTATGAAATGTAAAAAGCCAGCACTTATGAAGAATGATAAAAAAGCCTTATTATTTTTTATATTTATACATTTGCATATATACACATATACATATAGATATGCATATATATGTATCTATATTTACGTATATCAATATGTATTTAACATTAAAATCATATATAAATGAGCATAAATAAAACATTGGTTTCATATATATTTTACTTGACCAATTCAAAAAAAAAATATTAAATAAAAATTTTAAATATCGAAACAGAACTAAATTAAATGAAAAAGGAATGTAAAAATACACATTTTTTTAATTTATTTTTAATTAAAAATTTTATTCTATGTTTTGAAATTAGTTTTTATTTTATCACTATTAAAATAACTTGTGCTTGACAAACTACGATTTATATCAATTGGCAAACTAATAATCAAAAAATTATACAGTGTTCGTTCGAAAATGTAAACTAAATAAGCTCAGTTATTAATTAATTTATTTATTAACGATTTTTAAAAGTAGTTAATATAAAGAAGCTGTTTACAGGATTTAGCCTTCGCATAAACTCTAGTGTTCATATTTTCAATCAAGTAGTGTATTAAAATTTTTTTTATCCAATGTCTCTAAGTTTCTGTTGATCTCAATTCTTTAAAATTTTGAACCTACTTTTAAAGATCGAAACCTCTTATTGATTTTTAATCAATTGCTAGCATTTCATTTAAAAATATTGCTTTTATATATAAAAAATTTGTTGATTGCTTGATATCGTATGATCTTTCCTGGATTGAAAACTAGAGCTTTAATTCCTCGAGTTAATCAAACTATTCGAACATTGTTTTCTAACATTGAGCAGATTAATTGCCCAAGTATCAAGTAGTTCAAAAATTTTCGAGTACTTAAAATATTCAATTCAAGAGTTTGAATTTGAGTATTATTGAGTGAGTTGCTTGAGCAGTGTAAAGCTAGATCACTTTAAAGCACAAAGTAACAATGGCAACCTCATTGCGAGTACTTAAAATATTCAATCCAAATATTTAAATCTGAGTATTGAGTGAGTTGCTTGAGCAGCGAAGGGCTAGATCACTTTAAAGCACAAAGTAACAATGACAACCTCAGCCTTTTTAAGTACACTTTACTTCGCGAAATGATATGGTTAATACATTTTCAATTAGGACTGCAATTCTTTATTTATGTTGGAATAAAATGAAATTTCAGATGTTTTTTAATGGATATACAAGGATTTATTTTAGTCTGACTTATAATATTTAATAAAAACTCGTTCATTTACGCTTGAAAATCTTGTCAGTTTTAAGTTTAGGTTAATTTCGGAAAATTGTTAATCCTTCTTAAGTGAAATTTTTATTACAAAACTACCATTAAAATTGTTTGCTCCATAAAAATAAATTGCTCAACATATTTAAATCATGTTTCTGAAAAATAATACATAGCATATTTTAAATATAAAGAAAAACGTTTTTTTTTAATTGTTTTGGTGTACATTTATTTATTTAACTTAATTTTAATACTTAAATATTTAATTATTTGATATTTAATTTATGTTCATTAAAGATTAAATATTACATTTATTAAATAAAGTATAAAAATAATTACACAAATTCATATAGTTGTTCTAATTTTTTTTTTTAATTTGGTGCCTTTTTAATGAAAGACTGAATTATGAATTGTTTTCTTGTGACTTAATTCTTACAATATATTTTAGTTATTAGAAATGTTTTTACAAAATTTTTTTAAGATATATTTTCATATTATTTCCACCAAAATCAGTCATGAGCCTAATTTAATCAAAAATTACATTACATTGTTTTTAAGAAATCAGAATCAGAATCAAAATCCACACAAAACTGCAGATGTTATAATATACAAAATTTTTAAAAATTGATCAAGTTTATACAGTTTTGTGGGATTTATATTTGTTCACAAGTCAAAGAATTTTAATATATTTCATATAATATTTAAATAAATTAGTAATTCAAGTTATATATACTCCAAATAAAGTTTCTATAGTTATATTATTGTTTTCTTTTCATATAAATGCTGAGAAATTTTGTATTTTAGAGAGTGGTCGGTCATATAGGCAATAATAAAATTTTGATAGTGGAGTTATCACAGCATCTTCTTAACTTCTACCGTAATACCAATGGAGATTGGTATGACTAATATTAAAATTTTTAAGGCTGCTAATAGAATTCAATCAATATTATACTCAGTACTTTGGTAAATAACTTTTAACAGTTCACTGCTACAATATCAATCGAATTATTTATATTCAATAGGGTAAATACTTTGAAATTAGTTAGTTCGCTCGAAACGCATTTCAGAAATTCCATCTTGTAGATCGAAGTACATAACTTTTCCGCAACTGTTGTATACAGCGAGAATAAGTCTGGAAAATAATGATTGCAGTTATTACAATATTATATCCTAATTTAACAAAATTTATGTTTATTTTTATTACTTTCCCATATCGGCGAATCTTGAACGTATAGTATTCATTTCTGCCAATTTTATTTGTTCTGTAGAACGTACTGGTATGACATGATATAAATCACCTAGTCGCAATCCACGCATATAAATCTCTTTGAGTTCGGTGTCGTACGTTTTTTCAACATCGTTTAAGTGATTATCTAAAAAAATGTGCATTTAAATAATTTTATTATTTAGAAATATTGCGAAGCATACTTTTTAAGAGATCAATATAGACGCGGGCAGCAATCGCGGTCTTTTTGGGATCAGGGCAGCCCAAAGATTCAAATTCACGCAACTATAAAATAAAATTTCATTTTCAAAATAATTCGTCTCTGTAAAGGAACGCTACACTTACTGTTTTACCCAAATACATGTTTACAGTATCTGTCAAAGTGTTGTTATTAGGCGAAGTCAGCTGTGAATATAAATACAATTAAAAATGGTTAGTTTTTTGGAAGGCTTGCTTGTGTGCTGCTTCATGTAAAAACTGAAGTATTTTGAAATTAATTGTTTTATAAGTATTACCTTGCTTGTTGTTTTTTATAACTCCACAATTTAAAGAACTTTTTTTTAAGAATTTTTGATAGCAATCAATAAACACAAAAGGAATCAGCACTCTGCTCTCCGTTTGACAAAAGACTGAGCGTTTACCAGAAATATCGAATTCAACACGAAAAGTGCTGCCAAGTTAAGTATTAAATGTTTTGGAATACAATTATTTTAAAGCAAAAATATTTTCTATCGATACTATTTGAGATTAAAAATAAAAATTTTATTTTTTATATTAATAAAAAAAAAATTGTATGTAAAAAATTATAATTTTAAAATTTTTGTGTCATAAAATAGTAAACAAATGAATAGGATGGAAATATAACCCTACACTTTAGTTGCAGTCAAGGAAAACATTGCGTATTCTTTGGTTGTAATAAACCAAGAAATTGAATTGCATCCACAATTTAAATATTTTTAGTTTATATATAAAATATATAAAACATGTGATTGAATTCTATTTTACTTGAATAAAATATGACTAACATAATTATAATAAATGTCAAATAGTACTATAAATAGCATTTGTTGAATATAATATTTTCATACTTTAAATTGCATAAATCGTAATTATGTTTTCCAAAAAAAAATAAATAAATAAAAAAAAGTAAATATAGATGAATATTATGGTGACATAATATATCGATAACTTGATATCGGCGGCAGTAAGCTGGCCTCTATAATTTGAAGCGCTGTAATAACAGTGTTGCCATATATAAAATATATTAAGTGCAATTTTATATTGTATTGACTAAGTTTTCGATTTAAAAATTAAAATTCCCCACATTAATTTAAAACTTTCAATATTGTGTTTGAAGTTTAATAATTAATGTTATCAATAATTTCTTATAATAGTATATTATTATAAATTACTATTACAATAATTGTATTGTATAAGTTACTTTATGATAAGTGGTGTTAAAATGAATTGCATATGTTTATAAATAAAATGAAACTATATTATCTATTTAATTTATTTTTTATTTAATTGTACTGTCTATTTTTTTTTCTCTCTCCCCTGATTACTGGAATGAAGTTTTTACAATGCTGTGGAAATCTTCTGTATTTATTCCTAAGAGGTGATTTAGTGGGTTCTAGTCTCAAAAAAAATCTATTTAATATTTTTATGAATAATTTTGTATAGTGTATTTGAATATTATATTTCATCTGAAATAAAGTGGTGAATAACGAAGTAAAAGTGCATCTTATCTACCTGAACAAATAACATGCGATGCAGGATTTATTTATACTTCGCTCCTTTTCTTTATTTTGACTCGTTTTAGCAATTATTTGAGTTAAAGAAGTTAAAAACATATTTTGTATAAAAGCAATGTCTTCATTAGTGGAAGAGTGGTAATGTTTAGCAATTGTTGCTCAAGATTGAGTTAATCACTAATAAATTTCAGAACTTGTGCCTTTTTATCCATATAAAATATATATTTTATCACACATCCACAAAAGAATATTATTTTTAAAATTTAGGTACAACCAAAAATGATCAAAATATGAATTACAGTACGAAGTCGGCAGTTGTGATTTGACTACCTGAATAACTTGCCATTAAGACCATGGTCATGACCATGAAGGCGAGAAAAGTTAAAAAACTGTCATAGCATTCATTATAATACCATCTGGCATTAGACAATAGTGCGTTTTTGTACATCAAGCGCATTATTCAGTGATGTTGTGTATTTAGGCAGTATCACATAAAATCCTGATCATTTTGAGTGGTAAAATGAAATTACTATTACTATTAAGATATGTCATAAGAATTATTAAAATAAAATATGAAGAAACGATAAATGTTTTAATTTAAAACTTTGTTAATCTTATGTTTTCAATTTATAATTTTTTCAACTCAATTAGCTACAACTGTTTAATTGAAATTATATGTTTATACTATGATAACATAATTATCGAACAATGGAATAAAAAAAAAAAATAAAACAGAAGAGTAAATTTAGTTATATTGGATATATACTACCTAGTCCTATTTCTTCATCCGAAAAGAGATGCCCACTTAGGCTCTTTTTTCGCTTATACATTAGCAGCAGAATCTCAGCACGTGATTTAAGATCTCATTCTTTATCTTATAATACCAACAAGTTCTATTATAGTAAGTTTCATTAGAATGAGTTTCTTTAGTGTAAGTTCCATGAGAGTAACTTTCATTAGAGTAAGTTCATTACATTCAGTTCCATTAGAGTAAGTTTTATTCGAGTAAGTTTCATTAGAGTAAGTTCCATTAGAGTAAGTTCTATTAGAGTAAGCTTCGTTAGAGTAAGTTTTATTTGAGTAAGTTCCATCAGAGTAAGTTCTATTAGAATAAATTTTATTAGAGTAAGTTCCATTAGTGTAAGTTTAATTAGAGTAAGTTCCATTAGTGTAAGTTTAATTAGAGTAACTTAGAATACACAGTTCACAGTTTAGTAAATTTAACCTACAGAATTCGTAGATTTGTATCTAACATTTTAGATGGTTGTACCAAGAGAATACCTGCAGAAATGCATATTTATAGAAGTCCTTTTGCTTTAGGCTAAATACACTCCCTCTTCAATTTGTATTTATTGTCATACAAAAACACTTTTAATGACTTTTCCAGTGTAAAATCTTATGAAGAAATATAGACAATGTTGTTCTGATGGGCAAGGCAATAAAATTTAATTAACTACATTTATTGCACACGAAGGCAATAGGACTTGTCCTTAAAACGAATTGCAAGGATACAACACAGTCAACAGTTAGAATAATAATTGATTGTATCTGCTGATTAAATACATCTATAACGGTCAAATATGTTAACAACACTTAAGTGAAGTGAAGTGGAGTGAAATACAATTTTAAATTTATTTGTAATTATTTGAAATGTGGATCGCAATTCCTTGTTAATAAAAACGCTCGAGAAATCTTTGTTCTCAATTATCCTTGTAATTAAATGCATTGTTAAATCAGTTTCGCATTTCCATGGAACGAGAACAGGCAATCACTTGTTGCTAAGAAGCTTTTCATTACGCGAATTAGGAAGACAGAAAACATTATTAAAAGATTTAATTAAATCAATTGAAAGGATATATTTTTCACTCGTCGCCAGGAGTAAACATTTTGTTGCCAAAGTGAGATGAAAATAAATTAAAAAAAATGTTTGTGAATTTTTTTTTCATTTTTAATTTTTCACACTTACTTTTTAATTGAATTTGAAATCCAAATCAAATGCAGAAATTGACCATGAACTTTCGCAAATGAAGCGGAAGTCCTTTTGCAATTAAAAATTGTTGAGTTGAAAGCGTGTGCAAACAGGACGCGAAGGCAGCGAGTAGAAGAAGGAAAAATAGCGTAGCATGGAAGGAATTCAAGAATAAAATTGAATTTATCACAAGAAATGTTTAAAATTAAAATGTAATTTTATTTTAATTTTTTTTTCTGTTTTTTTCTTTTTTTTTTTTGTTCAAAACCGTGGAGAGAAGAAATTATTTCTTAATATCAGCTTTTATGCAAATGCGCTTAAACACAAGCGAGCAACATAAAAGTGCTTCTATGAATGAAACATATTTCGTATTTTCGTATTTGGCTGTATGCACCCGAGTCCTTGTAACATATACAAAGGAATTTTCGAGGGAATGAGAAAAAAATTCATAACTAACTTTCAAATAGAAATTACGACAAAATTAAAAGTTATTCACTGAAGTGGAACGTCATTATCATAGATGATGCTTAACGTAATGTGATATGAATAAGACATTTTGTAAGGACACGTTGTTTGAAAGGATATTTATGCTTGGAATGGCATGTGTGAAATGATGTTTGCATTAAGCCAAGGCATCACATACAACTGCGTTGGAGAAATTTAAAATAACGACAGAAAAAAACTCAAGAAATAGAAATATTAAAGTTTTATATTATCTAGCGTTTTTTTCTCTATTTATTTGAATACATCCATTGAAATTATCCATTTAATGCATCCGTAATTTTCATATTATTTAAAGAAGTTTTCCCCAAATAACTGAATCTAAATTCCTTGAACACCAGAAAAGATCTCATAAAATACTATAAAATACTATAATACTATAAGTTCGATTATACCTACTCTGGCCTTATAGATCCATGTTATCGTAGATGTACTGATTTTACTCGAAGTATACGTTTGTGGTCTGCTTATATACAATTTTTATAAAAAGTTGTTTCACTATTCGCTATAGCACTTATGTTTCTTAGTATGTATCGATGTTTTATATTTTGGATAGGATTAACATAGCTGCCGTTTTGGATGTTCGCTAAGTCGACTTAAACTATGGATATGGTATTCCATAAGTAATTGATTTTGGCAATGAAACATCCAGTGTTTTTTGTCAACCATCTTTTTTGATTGTTTATGGGTTTATTAAGAAGAGTAAATTTTTTTGTGTCATTGGTAATGATGTAACATTCTACACCACCTCATCCAAATTTATTCAAATAAATGATGAGAAGATTAGGTTTCATTTAAAGCATCGCTTATGCTAATAGATTTATATAGGAATACGATTTCAAGGAGCTGGAAACCATTTAGGCCGAAAAACTTGAAAACTAGCTATATATCTACTGGTAATATATAATGAAGAACAATAAAATTATAATACACATCTCTAACGTCATGTATCGAAAGAAAGAAATTTTATTTCTAGTTTGCAGTAAGTGCAAAGCAACAACAGCCACATTGTGAGACTGTAACCCAATAAATCCATGTTCTAGGAATGAAAGGAGAAGATTTCCACTGTGATGTGGAGATTTCATTCCAGTAATTTAAGGAGAGAGATGTGATGAAGAGGTCTAGGTTTATCTAAGCCAGAAAGCATGCGCATGGAACAAGAGGAAAGTGAGTAGGAGGTGATGGAGTTATTACGCAAGTGAGGGGGAAGAGTTATGCAACCGAGTAAAGTATCGTCGGACAAGTGATAGGAGATACTCGTCGAGCAAGTAACTTGGGTTTTTCCATAAAAAACAGTGCCGGGGAAGTGCTTTCCGCTTGCAGACCAAATGGGATAGGCGTACGAGAGTAGTTCACGAATGACCTGTATGTAACATAGGGGCTTAACTTCATAGATTTTAGCTTGAAAGGACATTTTTAATTTACATATGCCTAAACTTGTCGTTTTGCAGTGCATAGTCAACGTGTGATATGAAGTCATGCCAATGGGATAGAACAACATCGAGACATTTGAGCTTGTCAATAAGCTAAATGGGGTGTTGTCGAACTCTAGCTCAATGAGTGTGGTATCAAAGCCATACCACATCTCGGTGCGATCTCGGCTTCGGTCTAGAAGAACTATGTGAGGTTGAGCTTAATCTTTCATCTGGTGTTGTATTTGAGAAATAAGAGATTTGTCACGGGAAAGAAGGAATCAGAAGCGATGTGCC